AAGCAGTGGTATCAACGCAGAGTACTAACACTTTATATCAGACATTCATATATGCCGCTGACGTATTTTTTAATCAGCTAGAAATCAAGAAAATCAAAATTCTTGTGCTTATACAAAAACGAAGCAATGCTGTTTTCACGCAGGTAATTGTTTACTACAGGCCTTTAATAGTATAAGCGCAGATTTTCAGCTTCAAGCAAGTGCTAGTTTTCGAGATATATTAAATTTAACTTTCTTCACTCGGGCGTTCCATGCCAAAACCAACATATCTCGAAAACTAGGGCTTATGAAAAGCTGAAAATTTGCGGCCATTCTGAAGGCCTGTAGTGAACAATTTCCTGCGTAAAAACAGCATTGCTTCGTTGTTGCATAAGTGCAAAATTTTCGATTTTCTCGATTTCTAGCTGATTAAAAAATACGTCAACGACATATATGAATGTCTGATATAAAGTGTTATCTTTGTGAACAAGTGGGAGATCCATAGGATGTATTTGAACGAAGATATAAAATTTCTTCGATTTTTTGAGCATTGAGTAGGACTCGAATTTTGGCTTCAAACTTGCGGCGAATCGAAGCTAGTGAGAACCTGCGCATGCCTTCTTGTAAAGCTTGCTTTGCTTTATCGAATGGTACCCCGAAGCCCTATTCGAAATATGACGCGTAGGACTTATCGCAGTAACTAACCAGAGTGTAGCATGATTAATGGGATAACCTAATACAATTTATTTGAATATGTAAAGAGGAGTAGTCCAGTGGTGAGTCCCAATAGAACCTGATTCGTGAGAAACACGGGTCTGAATACAAGAATTTATTTGAATGGCACAAACTAACACCAACAAGAACTACAACACCTAGTACAGCTAAGTACTCGCTGTTGCACAACAAAGGAGTTCAGACCGATTTGACCCTTTCAGCAGGGTTTTCTAGCTAAACTACGGAGAGCGTTCACTTCGCGATCTGGTCTCCTCCCCTCCCCCTCCTTTCCCCGCTGAGAAGTATAGGCCTCATCCCGCACTGAAGATTGGTAGATCGGTGATCTGCGCCATCCATCAAATATGCTACACTCTCGAATATTCGAGAAACTATCGAAAGTAAAGTATTTAAATGTTCGAATATATTTCTGATTACTTCTGTGCCGGTTTGTCAGGTTTGTTAAGCGATGTTTATTCTTCTTCCAATCACGGCCCTACGTTTCGACGCCTTCGTCTACGACCCCCCCCCTGATTGCTGTCTTAATAAGACCCTCCCCCCCTGAACTATATACCTAAGATAGCATTACCAGAGTTGAGAAAGAGGTCAGGCACAAGTCTTTCGAGAACACCCCCCCCCCCATGAAAGCCCTCAAACGACCCCTTCTTCCTCCTCTTAACCTCTGGACCTCAAAGTGTGACATTCTGGAGGTCACCAGCTTTTTCTAAAGTTTTCAGATTTCTGAGAGCTGTACGCCCGATTTTCTGTGACTGCACTTTACAATCACACGTAATTTGACGGCTGATTCTGATCTGAATGGGCATAGTGAAATGGCCATAATTTTCTTATGGGTGGGGCGTTCGGCTCCAAATTTCCAGCGTAGCAAGAAGAAGCTATGTGCTCAATACTCATACCAGCAATGGAGCGCTTTCTGGATTTTGAAGGCAAGTTGAGGGGGTGCGGCACACCCCCTTAAAAGCTGCGGCAGCCGCAGCTTTTAAGGGGGTGTGCCGCACCCCATTAACTATATCAAAAAAACATTTTTAGCGGATAGTATTTATATGAATCGATAGCCTAAACCTTGTAGATTCCATAGGACTGTTTGGAGCCTGATTCGTCTTCTTAGCTCTGAGTAATATTTGGTGAAAGCACAGCGATCAAATTCGAAAAATGGGAAAAACGAGATGTTGGTTGGCTTCTAATTCCACAGTTTGCAGGTCTTCTGAAGCGGGATTCCTGAGGTGGACAGAGAAGGAGTAGTGCTTTGTCTTCAGTGCAAAAACGGATAGCTGATTCACCTTTGAAACGAAGTTAACCATGTTGGAATTTGACCATTTCATTTAGGTAACCTGGTATCTTGAATCTTCAGAATTCGCTCACACTTTGTCTACAGGGGTTAATTGACATGCTAATTATAGGTATGATACAAATATCATGTTATCATTATTATCAGATTACCCAACCACGACCCCCTCCCCTTTTGACTCCTTCAATACGACCCCCCAGGTGTGGCGTGCCGCACCCCACGCTTGACCCTTGTTCCAAGTGTTATCTGTGATACCAGCCCACCAAGCGTCTCCTCCAATCCCGCCAGTTCTCGACCTTCCCACGACCTCATTCCACATAAAACGTCAACGCGGAACGACATACCGGAAGAGCACCGCTTTCCGAGAATAGTATATAATACTATTATATAATATAATATATTATTTTATAATAATATATTATATATTATTATATAATAATATAATCTTATATATAAAGCTGAATGTCTGTTTGTATGTCTGTCTGTATGTCTGTCTGTCTGTATGTGTGTACGTATGT